ACAGAGACATCAGAGGATGCACTGACTGTGTTATTTGCTCCAACACATTATGTCTCTCTTCATTGGGAAGACTGGTTTCATCCATTCAGGAGAATAAATTAGGTGTTTGTACACTATGCCAGGGTAAGCTAGTGTCCTTAGGAAAGCTCTTATTTTTACATAATTTACAAAAGCACACAAATAGTAGCAGACATCACACTTCCATAAAAAGAGTTGCTTGCTGAAAAAAATGCACCACTGATCACTTTGCTCAATGAGCTTGGTTTATCTTCTAGCAGATATTCATGCCTCATGAACTGTTTAAGACCTCCAGAAGGACAACATACCAAAGTTTTGTAGCACTGCCATCAATGACTAAAGAGCTAAAGAACATAATGAACTCAAAGACCATTAAAAGTGCCTTTGAGGATGAATCCTAAATTAAAATATACTGTTGTAGATCCAAGAAAAACATTTTTTCCAATGGATTTATTGCTTAATACTTTCCTGATGAGATCAAAAATATTTCTCTATCCACAGACAGCACCAAGAATACAACACATACTATGCATTTGTGTTTTAGCAAAAGAAGTTCTGATGTCCCATTGCAGAGTGGCATTTGGTTCTAGGTCTCTACATGAGCAGTTTAGCCCACCACTTTAGCCCACCACTTTAAGATATTTCTTATTTTTTTCTTTAGGGAAAGGTATTTGCCTTTACAAAGAGTTTGTTTCCCGGAGTTTGTCTTTCTGTGCCTTTGTATAGGTTCCATTATCTTCCACAAGATGGTGCTATGGTATAGCTGTAATGTAGCCAAATTGGAACAACACACAAAACTTTCATTCTGGTTTGTTCCACATTTGAAATGTAATAACTGACAGTGAAATCAGTGAAAATGGCAGAAGCCCTGGGGAAAGGCAATGGAAGAGGATCTGGAAAATGGCAATGTCATAAAAAGAACCCATAAACTTTCATGAGTCAGGGCTCACTATTGCACAAGAAATGTCTAGTTTAGAGGCCTTAGTCATAGCTGATCACTGAATAACATTCTGAACAGAGAGAAATGCCCACTGTTTGTAGGGCCTAGAAAACTTATGTGAACGTGCAGGGTGAGACTTACCAGACTTGAAATGAAGCATACCCAAACCAGATCGTGACAATTCAGACTGAAAGAGAAGTGAAGTTACTTTGCGCAAAAGTGTGAAGTTTTAAAGTTAAAACCTGTGCAACATGCTGGACCATCTTCTTCATTCTTATAACAAGTCCCTCAGGCAAGCTACATTTTACATAAGGAAAACAAAGGCCAAGAGTTTCATTTCTAGGGCCATCATGAAACATCCAATGTGTGTGCCCATCCTATAGGATTTTATCAGCACATCCATCTAGTATGTTTCTTGATACATTTATGCTGCATTTCAGATCTTGTGGCTTATGTTGTAAATAGCCATATACTGGCAGCAAGTTTTTCACAGAAGGATTATTGTTATGAAGCACTTATTAGGCAAGACAGATTTTAGAGCAGCTGGACTGTTGGGAAGCACCTTCACTGCACTCAATCAAAATGTAGCATCTCCCGTCCGAAAAGGTCAGCTGGCAAGAAAAGTTGCCCACACTCATTCTTTGCATGTCTAGGCAATGGCCTGGCTCAGAAATGAAATCAGTGAAGTTCACAGAAGGATATTTTCCATTTATTTCACTCCAGCAGCAACTTGCAGCCACTCTCAGTGCTGTCAGGGCAAGGAAAGGGTGGGAAACGTTCCTTCATGTACTTTAGATACCAAGGCAATGATTCCCTTGAATTATCAGTCATGTCACCTTTCCCTTGTATCCTTGATACAGGGATGAATGTCCCCCATGCTTAATAGAAAGTTTGTATACCTGAATAGCACACTAGGGATTCAATCCTATGCATACCTACTTGAAAGAAAGCCCTACTGAACACAGTGGAACTTACTTCTCAGTAAATAGGCAAACAATAGCACAAGTGTATGTGTCTAGTTGAAACTAGAATTATTAGAGGACAGGAAGGCCTGGAGGAATGTTGTCCATGGGGTTGCAGTGGGTCGGACATGACTTCGCGACTAACAACAACTAACTGCATGTGTGAGACCTTCTAATATAGCATACATGGGATGTCCTGGCCATTAGAGCTATGCCTGCTTTGCAGTGATAGGAAGACTGATATAGGACTTGTATGCATCTTACCAGAAACTGCTCCTTTAGCCATATCCATGGCAAGTGATTACCCAATTCATACTGAGAGGAATGGCAGACTTTGTGGGATCTGGGGCAAATAGGATAGATGCACCTATGCACCTTCTCAGTCTGAATATATTAATCTATAGAAGGTTATTGAAAACCCCCTTAGGGTACAATTCTATGCATGTTTAGATAGGGAAAAGTCCTATAACTCCCAGGGGGAAACTAGGAGTTGGACTGTTCACCTGTCAAAACAGATAGGATTCCAGCCCTCAAGACTTGTTTAAAAGAAGAAAAAAGCCTAACACCTTATCAGACGGAGACTTCTGTGGAATCCAAGCATTTCTCCTTTTTTAGTGGAAGATCTGTCTAAATAAATGCAAGTAACGTTTGCATAATTGTTTCATACATACCTCTTCTATTTTAACAAAACCTCAAATACCTTGCATAATAAATTTAGATGGAGGGGGAAAATTGCCTCAGTATCTTTTCCTAGTTTAGTATCTTTTTCTACTCAGTCCACTGAAGCCTATTTAAATCAATCTGTTCTTTCTTTTGTTTTTCCAGTCTCTAAGGGTCATTAACCAATTACAGCTGGGCTCAGGCCCAGGATATATCCAAGACTCACAAATGAGCTTATCACAAAGTGCCCCAGTGAAATCATTAAATAAACTTCTCTCACACACATATACAAAACAAAAACAAAAAAGTTAGTCTTTCAAAAAGAACTTTGTTCAGCTATTTCAGATTTTTTTTTCTCCACATGGGGCAAGAGTAGAAAAGTTGTATGCAAAATAGTAAATCATGCATTACTCAACTTTTTTAACAGAAGTTTCCAGGTATAATAGAAATAATCATCTCACATTTTTATCACAATAACTTGTCTCAAACTAGCCAAGTGGGTGGCTAGAAAAAAGTGGGACTTCTCTTTATCAAATTCTTCCTGAAACTCACCTGTCAGCTAATCCGAATTCTTTTTGGCCCAAGAGGAAGACTTTTGCTTTCAAACCTTCAATGCTTTGTAAAGACCCTTTTGGAATATTTTAATGGATTGAGTCTTTGCATTTAATACCTTAAACTTTTGATACCATAAGGGCTCACACCAGTGGGGATGCCTGTAAGCCTCTAAACTTAGGGAGCTGCCTGTATGAGAGGGTTAAGCTATTGCTTTATTGAGGCTTTTTCTTCTGTTTTCATTGTGAGAATAAAATGAATCCTTTAAACCATTTTCCCTCAGTGCTTGTATCTCTTTGCCTTTTTATATGTTCCATTTATCAACCACAAGACAGCACTGTGATGTAGCTGCAGCTTTTCACAAGGCTTTTGTTTTAATAGCTGATTTTCCTTAGTCTTCCCCCCCCCCCCAAAAAAAAAGCCTTTTAAAATGGCAGGAAAACATAGAAGAGGCCCTGGAAGATTACGAAATCATGAACAGTCCCCACAAACTTGTGTGTGAAGGATCAGGAATGCACAATAAATGCCTTGTGTGGGGAAGCTGTTGGAGGATTAAGGGTACCTCATGCAAGGCAGAAATATGGTGATAATTTTCACCTCAGCATTTCTCCACTCTGTTTATCAGCTGGACTGCCATTTTCAGTGCCCTTGCAAGGCTGGATTTCGGTTTGGTGATGCTCTTGGGCACCACATTCCACTGGTGCACTAAAAGCAAAAGTGGCCTAGGCCCAAAGAAGCAGGCTCAAATACCAAAACTATTGGTATATTTTAGGTTACCCTTCTTACAGCCATTAACATAGCCTTAAGAAAAATATTTCATCCTTTCAGAATGCTGGAATTACTGCACAAAGGCCCAAAGACTGCCAAATGATTGGCTTCGGGGGAAGGTGTATGATTTACCAGTGGATGTCATAGAGCTGGACTGGGGATACTGAAGGACCTGATATGGCCCTGAGCCTAAAATTCAGCAGCCCTGACATACAGGTAGTTGTTTTATTTGCTAACGTAAGCCATCTGAAACACAGTGGACCTGAAGAGTTAATCCAAAAATATCTCTTCACGAATCTTCCTTACCATACAGAAGGAAGGAAGCCAATTTTGCTGTCCAGAGGGCAGCCCCTTGTGCCACATGGTGGTATTAGTCCAGAGGGTCCCTTGCCTTGGGGCAGGCGTTTCCAAGAGGGCTGCTATTGGTAGACAAAACTAGGAACATTTAGCCTACCCCTCTACAAAGCATGACTAGAATCAAAATACTATGTCAGTGCATAGAAATATCCATAAACATTAAAGGGAATTATTTCTAATTTCTCATTGCACCTGTGAGATAAAGCTGCCACAGGAAAAAAATCTAGAGGCAAAGAATTTCAGAATTTTTTAATCTAAAAGACTGCAGAAACAAGATCTCCTTTTAGTTGGGGACTTCAGCATCATTTCCCATTGCAACAAAATTACTGAATCGCAAAAGGAGCGAAGTCCTTTCATGTTTCTTCACCTCAAGATAACCTATCATAACTGTTACCAACATTGTTACTATTGTCACATGTGCATTTCAAATTTCATATAATCTTTCAGTACAATTTCTGGAGCAGTTTAAGAATTTGCTCCATTGAAGTTTGCTGCCATTAACTAATTCTAGAGATTTTTTCATTTTTTGAACATTAATTCAATTAGATTTTTTCATCAAACCATCACTAAAAACTCATATCATCCTTTCAACAAAGTGTTTAATATCATGTATAAAAATAGTTTTAGTCACATTTGAAATACTGATTATGGAAACATTTGCAAAAGGAACACTATAAAAGGTTAACATTTCATAGGACCAGAAAGCTTGAGGGAAAAGTTTTGGAAGTTTCCAATTTCCCAAGTCATAAAATACCACCTTCTTGTATAACACATCATCCACAGTCTCAAGTAAATAGGCTTCCCAATTCAGGTTGAGGAAACTTCATGCATCTTTGTGGAATGTGCCCATGAAAATTCTCTGCACTTCCCCTCTTGCATAAAAATATTACCAACAGCCCCAGCTCAACAAGACATTATCTATGATTTTGATCCATGGCTTCTTGCCTGGAACTTTCATTTAAGCAAGCCCAGCAATATCAATGGGAATGTATATGTGCAGCTCAAATCCAAGTAATTCGATTTAATGCAATTGAGGAGCAGGCTGTGAAGGTGCAACTGGATACTATCTTTGTGTCTTTAGGTTTAGTTTTAAGTTGACTAAGATGATGAAAGTAGTCTTACTATTGCATAGCTGCCAAGAACATAAAATCAAATATATTATAAATTTGAATTTAAAACTAGTCTAGAATACCAATTTCCTTTGGTACACAAACAACACTGTTCGGGGTTAGCTTGTACAATCTATACTTTGGTCCATGCTGTTAATTCTATTAAAATTATCCTCTTGTATATCTTCAGTTAGTGAAAAAGCTTCAAGACCAGTTCTTAATGGAAGTAATGATGCAAAAAAAGACCTTTCCAAACACATCATTTTAGCTGAAGCAGCAAATTCAGTAAACCGTTTTTCCTCATTCATTATATGTTTAAAATACGTTTTTCTTTCCCGATGAATAAGGATAGGGTTTAAACATTTAACAAAATTTATTTCTTTACACCACTTTTTTCAGTCCATAGCAGTCTGTGTGGTTGGGGGGCATATCCAGCATGAGTATCGCTTACTTTCACTAAGCTGTAGTCCCACACAATCTGTTGGCTGTTGAAACTTCTTTGGTGTCGGATTCTGGTCTTCCTGAAACCACAAAGGGCCATGTCTGTAAGTTAAAGTGGTATTCCATGTTAGAAGAAAGGACTGCAATATGTAAATACCAAAACTTCAATTGCCATTTGTTTTCTACTCCCCATTCGCCAAGATGTATTCCAACTGAAGTGCAGAGGTGGTTTCTTGAAAGGGTCTACTTAAAAAGTAGATACAATATATTTGAAACGTATTAACTTTCTCTCAATATAGTTAATTCAGTTGGGATACCAAGTTGTGAGGGCTTAAAGCACCTTCCCTTCAGTGTACACTATTAATTAGCAGTCTATCATCTCTGATAAATACTGATGAATCACAATTTGGTTTTGTGTATATCAGAACACTGGTTTCTTTCTTTCTTATTCCAAAATCATCTGAAACATTTGAGAAAAATATACTGCTTCTGCAAATGTTCAGGCAACATGCTGTGATCTTCCTAATTCTTTAAATATTTAGGAAAAGCTTTGCTGAAAATTATTATTGGCAGACAGATTAACAATTTCACAGAAGCTGAGCCTCAGGTTTGCATCTTTACATCACATTTTATGCATGAATGGAACACACAAACACAAAGAGCAGGTTTTGCAAGTGGAGGGATATTCAAGCCATCAGCTACATTTACAAACCAGTGACATGCATCAAGCTAAATAAGTTTCATTGCAGAGCATCCCTAATTCAAACACACTCCCCAGTCGTTACTTTCTGCAGGATCCAAACACATTCCTGAATTGTCACTTCAGTATAATCCTACATTCAAGGCCAGCAAGGATCTTCAAAGATTTCAAAGAGCAGTCATTTATTAAAGCATATAGCATACAGCCCTCTGCCTTTGAGGAAATAGGAGATCTTTGCATATGCCCTGAATACCACACTCTTATATTCAACTGGCCCAGGTTGTTCACACGTAACCTTTTCTGCAAAGATTTAGAATTACCTTTACAACCCAAAACTGATATACCAAAATGGCTGATGTACATGGGCTTACATAAGGGATAAGCAAGCTCAAGGAATGGCTTCACAAATAAGATCTGTTCAGTCTAGTCTAGTCTATATGATCACTGATGCTAAAACTGAACTGAGCTCCTGCAAGAAGTGAAACAGACTTTGACTTATCTGCAGTACTTGCTTTATTGCACTTTCGTATAGGGTGAAATGTACATGAGGAGGCTAGTACCCACAAATCTATGCAAGGAATAGTTAAGAATGTATGTTTTTAGATTATTTAGATGTGTGTGTGTCACAAGTTCTGTCTTAGGGGATGCGTTTGAACAGGACTGAATTCATGCAAGCCATGGCTATGATGGTGCCCATTACTTTTGGTTGTCCCAAGATGGTGTTTTAAGAATTTACTCTGAATTAATTGCATTGCACAATTGCACTGAATTACCTTTTTCAGTAAGTAGGGAGTCAAGTCATTAAAAAAAAAAACACATCAATGCGATCTATTGGTACAAATCTATTATCTTTACAACAATATCTGTAGTCAAGATCTTTACACTCTGCCATCATCTCTAGTGTCTCCAGATTCACTTCAAACAAGAAAATCTGCAAATGTAAACAACCTTGCATATGCGCTGCTGATGCAAATACAAGTGCACAGGAGTTGAGAATATGGCCAAATCTCCTTTGCCTTTGCTGAAATAGCTCTTGTTTTAATGGGAAAGGGACACCATAGTAGAAGCCACCAGGTACTATGTATGATCAGTTCCCTATAACTGAAGTGCATTGGTTCTTATATAGAATTGGGATATCATGGTATTCAGGCAGATGGGTGTTCAGTTTTGGCGATACTAGAAATGAACAATTAATATATTAGACTATGATCCTCAGAGCCGCTGATGCTGAAATCCTATATACGTATGTTTAGACATGAGCAATCCTTCAACTCCCAGCACTCCTGGTTGAAGAATGCTGGAATTGTAGGACTTTTTTCCTGTCTAAATATGCATAGGATTGCACCCTAAACTAGAGTGTGTAGACTAATGTAGGTTCTTTGAGCAAATCTCACTGAAAACAGCAGCTCAGGAGATACCAAATACAGAGTTAGCAGGGATAAAAGAAAGATTTTTTAAAGAAACTACAATAAGTATCATCATCATCATCATTAACTTACTGTGTAACCACAACTGTATGTCATTCTAGTTGCATCCCATCTCAAAGAGGAGACCACCCAGCTGGGAGACGCAACAGAACCCAAAACAACTGACAAAGTAGAAGCATCTTCCTTATGAGAAAAGCTGAAGAGGCTAGGTCAGCCTTCTCCAGTCCCTCTTTTGGGGTATAACTTCCAAGATTCATGAATACTGGACATGCTGTGTGGAAGGTGAAATCCAAAACATCTGGAGGACACTAGGTTGGGATAAGGCTTCATTATTCAGAAACTCAGAACAGCCAAACTGAGACATGACACAAGTTTTATAAATAATGACTACTGTGAAGAAAACCTTCAGGAGCTCTCCTTTCTCTCTCTTTCTCCAGCCTCATCCAACAAAAAGAAATAGGCAGCAGGGGCACAATAGCCATTGTGTCACTTAAAGAATTCCTTACCATGCAATACAAAGCTCAAAATTTAAATTCGCAATGGCTAAAAAGATATGGCCCTCATTCGTGCTCCATTTGTACATGCTTGTATCTGCAACTGCTGGAAACATCATACTAGACTGAATGAATCTTTATCAGCTCATCCAGCAAAGGAATTATGTGAGGGGGAGGTTTTTTGTTCAGTTCTGGGTGGGCTAGAAGTGCAAAGCCTTCAGTACTGTAGGAGAAGTGCTGGTGGGAGAAGTGCAAAAGCAAACAAGAAACGCAGCTCTTCCTATTCTGCTGAGGCACTAATAGGAGTCAGTGCATAATACCCTAGAACAACTGGCATTCCCTTGTCAGCTTACAGCTTATTTTGTTGTTGTTATTTATGGTGTTTATAGTATTGGGAATGTGTCCAGTGCTTGATACAGTTGCCTCAAAGTAAAGCTGTTTTTCCAGAGAGGTTTGTTTATAACAAGTATTATCAAAGGGAGAATTGAATAAACAGCATAAAGTTAACTGCTGAAAGGTCATGTTCATAGTTAGTACTAAAATGCCCTGTAGATCTTTTTCACCCCCCCCCCAAAAAAACAATGCTTTTTAAAATTTATTTTGCCTAGTTTGATGCAGGGAGCACACTTAATGCACAATGTGAGTCAGCTAAGCCCCCCTGCTTCAGCTCAGAGCCCAGAGCCTTCACCACTCAGCTCAGCCTCCTGTCCACAGCTACCTGCAACCAGACAAGAACTCAAGGTGGGAATCCAAAGAGAGTTCTTCCAAAGCCACAGAAGAGGACCCTGAAATCCAAGCCCTCCTCAGAATTCATGCCCAGTGCTGCAACGCCAGCACCCACTTATTCTATGACTATGCTCCACTGAACTTACTTCTGAGTAGATATGTATACAATTGCTCAGCAAAATTAATAAGTGAGAAATTTTCAAAACTTCATTAGCTTAGTGTTACATAGGAATACTTGAATCACCTTTTGCTATGTGTAATCAGCAGGTAATAAAGTTTTTTCTTTGCTCTAAGGCTACTGCAGTTCTTACGTCTGCAACGAAGTTGTATGTTGTTCTTTTTATCCTGCATTCACAATGCAGCAATGGTTATTAACAGTGCGAGAGCAAGAAGCTACGGCTGGTTCTGAAAGAAATGGGCGCGCCTCCGCACTTGACTGTCCTGATGCATAACCTACAGCGCAAACAAGAAGGTACTGTTAGAAAAGAGTATGGAGAAACAGAATGGTTTCTCATAGGCAAAGGCATCAGACAAAGGTGTATTTTATTTCCTTATCTATTCATTCTGTATGCAGAACATATCACAAGTAAAGCAGGATTGGGATCACAGGAAGGAGTGAAAATTGGCAAAAGATATATCAATAATTTCAGATGTGGTGACGATGCCATATTACTGGCAGTAAGCAGCAGTGAAATGAAATGACTCACTCCTGATGAAAGCCAAAGAAGAAAGTATAAAAGAACTGCAGCTGAACATTTAATAAACAAAAGCATGATTACATGAAGAATTACACAACTTTATGGTCAACAATGAAGAAATTAAAATTGTGAACAATTTTGCATACCTTGGCTCAATCATCTATTCAAACAGACTGCAGCTAAGAAGACTGAGACTTGGAAGGACAGCAATGATGGCACTAGAAAGGATCATCAAGTGTAAGGACATTTCACTGCAGACCAAGGTCAAGATCATCCACAGTATTGTATTCCTGATCACTATGTATGGCTGTGAAAGCTGGACAGTGAAGAAAGCTGACAAGAAGAAAAGTGATGCATTAGAAACATGGTGCAGGTAGAGAGGTTATCCTGGACTCACAGAAAGACAAGCAAATGCATTCTAGATCAAAGCAAGCCGGCACTTTCCCTGGAAGCAAAAATAATGAAACTGAAGCTGTCATACTTTAGGCATACTTTGCGAAGGCAAGACTTACTAGAGAAGACAGTCATGCTATTGATACTTGAAGGCAGAAGAAGACAATGTCCAGCTAAGGGATGGATTGATTCCCTCAAGGAAGCCACAGCCTCGAGTTTGCAAGAGCCGAGCAGGCTTGTCAGTGACAGGTCATTTTCAAGGGCATTCATAATGCAGGGACAACTTGATGACACATAACAACAATAGAGAATATCGTATAGACTTAAAAGGAGAATAGATTTCATTTGCTGACAACAAAAGAGGTTAGGTAGCAAGCTTCGTTTAATGACAAAAATGCTGGGTCTATGGGAGTAAGACATCACAAATTAAACTCCTCCCTCTTTAGAACAAAAGCAGAAAGCAATCATATGGTCATCAACTACTTTCCTATGTTTAGGCAAAAGCAAAGTAAAGCAAAAGTTTCCTTAAAATGAGGGATGCCATTGCAAGTCCTTCCAGGTAGGTGACCTTCCACTCTGGAAGGCTTTCTCCCAAATTCTAGCTCTGGTGTGGGATGAACAGCAAAACAGGCCTCCCATCCTCTCCCCACACACCCCATTTCACGGATTCGTGCTTCCTGCACCAGAGGTTACCGCGATGCCCCCCGTCGCGCTTTGCGTCTGCCTCTCCCTCCACTCCTAGCATTATCCCTTTTCGCTGACTCGAACTGCGTGTGCGTGCCCGCGCTTGCTTCCAGGTGGCAAAACAGGCACCTGGAGATATTTCTAAGGAAGACCATTCTTTATCCAGGGCTGCCTTCCAGTCCTCTCCCCGTGCCCCAGCTCTGTGGTCCCTCCTATTATTCAGTGCCACTGTGGCGTAGTGGTTAGCGTGTCGGACTGCGAGACCGGCATCCGAGTCTGCAGTGAGCCGCGAAGCATCGCCGCCCTTGCTGCGATCCATTTCCAGCGCAACCCGCCGCACCGGCCTGTGGCGAGGATCAAACGCCCGCCCGCTCGGGGTCCCTGGCGCTGCGGAGGCGCCCCGTGCACGCGCTCCGAGGCGCGCTCGCTCCCCGGGCGGCGGGCCGCGGGCCGGGCCCGGGGCGCCCGCGCTTACCAGGTTGACCGGGTGCGCGTAGCCCTTCTCGTAGCGGTCCTCCTGCAGCAGCTGGCGCAGGTGCGCGATGTAGCTGGAGGCGAGGCGCAGCGTGTCCAGCTTGGAGAGCTTGGTGTCGGGCGGCACCCACGGCAGGCTGGTCTTCAGGCGCGAGAACGCCTTGCTCAGCACGCGCATGCGGGCTCGCTCGCGCGCGTTGGCGGCGTTGCGCTGCGTCTGCTTGCACTCGGCCGCCGCGACCGCGCTCCGCGCCGCCGCCGCCGCCGCCGGCCTCTTGCCGCCGCCCGCCTCAGCGCCCCCCCGCGCTCGCTTCTTCCTCTTGCCGCCGCGCGCCGCGGCCTCGTCGTCGTCCTCCTCGTCGTCCTCGTCGTCGTCGTCTTCCTCGGCCGCCGAGGAGTTCTCCAGCGAGGGGCAGGGCTCGCCTCGCGGACGTCGCTTGGAGCGGGGCGGCGCGGGGTAGTCCAGCTGCAGCCCTCCCAGATCCATCTCCGGCAGCTCCTCGGAGTCGCTCGGGGAGCCTGTAGACATGACCCAGCCCCGGAGACCGGACGCGCGGGCTGCGCTGCGCTGCGCTGCGGGGAGCGAGGAGCCCGCCTAAGGAAGCTCCTGCGCGCCTTCGCCCCCCGGAGAAGCTTCCCGGGCCCTTTGAGGGGACCTCCGCGTGGCAGAGCTATATATGCCACAGGGGAGCGGGGCAAACCATCCGCGTGGGGCAAGGAGGGGGTGCAACAATGAGGACGCCTCGCTCTGCCGTTGCCTGAGTGGCGTGGACGGGGGTGCGCTGCACGCTTCTCTCCTCCTCCTCCTCCTCCTCCTCCTCCTCCTCCCAGCACTCATTAGACCTGCCCGAATACAACTGGGCGCCTCTGGATCGGAGCTGAGCGCGCTCAGTTCAGCAGCAGGAGGACAAACGCGCTAGGAACGTCTTGGGTATGAAGACCCTTCGCTGTCCCGTGCGGGAAAGATGACCCCAGGAGCGCTTGCGGTGGCTGCCACTTTCCCCAAATAAAATCTTATTCAAAGATGTACCTTTAAAGCTATTTAGCGCCTACCCTGTACAGGTTGATCTCCATCATCGCCCTTCCTTCCGTACACCACCGCGAGACGAAAGGATTACGCGAAGAGCTGAGACTTGCCTGGTCCCATGATCCAGAGTGGTATGTTCGGTTGGTGAAATTTCCACTGGTTGAACTGACTCAATCTCGTGTGCCTTTGCGAGAAACTAAGGGCTCCATTCTGTGCATATTGAGATGGAAAGAAGTCTACAACTCTGGGCATCTCCCCATTTGGGAATTACCAGATTTATTTCTGTCTAACCATGCATAAGATTGCACTCTTTGGTTGCAATCCTGTATAAAATTAATTGAATTAAGTGAGGATAACTTCCAGCAAATAGGTCCAGGATTGTGCTGCAACTTTTCATAGGGGATTGGAAACTGACATGACTTCAATCCACAATACAGTTTCAACCTATTCATAAATGGATAGATCAAAGCTAGATCAGGCGAAGGCCTGTCTCATGCAGCATCCTGTTTCCCACAGTGGCAAGCCAAGATATGCACAGGAAGCCTGCATTGTCATCATCCTAAAGGGTTTATAAGCTAAGTTCTATTATAGCATTTAAGAGTTTCCAAAGAACTGAATTAAGGATTTAGATGGCAGTGCTGCTGGAGCCTTTGCTGCATGTAAATTTGAGCTATTTCAGCTGTATGAGGTTGTGAATATATGATTTGACTGGGTCTTAGGTTTCCATTGTGAATAGGAGCCATGTGCTGGTTGGAAATCCTATGCATCTTTACTTGGGACAGAAGTAAGGCCCATGAAATCAGAAGGATCGATTTCCTACTAAACTATGGGTAGAATTGGATTGGGGAGAAAGAATGTCTCCTTTTATTGATACAGTGAATTACCATGGTGCTAAGGAATTTAAAATCAAACACCAGGTTAAACATTCATGCACATACAATCCAATACTACATTTCATAGCAGCTAGTTGGTGCAAAATTCTTGACAGGTTTTTAAAAGGATTTGCGCCTGCTGTAGACTTGAGTTGTACCTACAAAAGACATGTTTGTTTATAATGAAAATGTTAGTACTGCATCATTTGTTTTGTTTTGGTTTTTTTTTTTTTTTGGTCACAGACCAGGGCAATAAGAAATACTGCATAACAAGATAGAAATACAATTATAATTCTGTGGCTAACAAAGAAATATCATTCAGACCCGAACAGTCTGCCAGGTCTCTAAAATATATGTTTACGTAGAAATTAGTTGTACTCAAAATAAAAAATGATTTTTGCCATGTGTGTTGTAAGAGTCAGCATTTGTAAAAAGTAAATCGATGAATTGCATATTTATTGTCTGAAAGCAAATTCCAGTGAAGGCAAAGCAGTTTGTACAGAACCATGGTATTACAGAAACTGGCTGCAAAATTCACTATGTGCCTATTGGCTGTCACTCACTTTGCTGCAAAAAGATCCTTTTCTTGGAGTACCCAAGAATACATTTCATAAAACAATTATGCCAGGCTTCACCAGAACTTCACCCTAAAACTATATTTTTCAGTGCTAAGACTCACCTTTGGAATATGTGAAATGTTAGTAAAGAATATAAGTTTGCTAGAGATGTACCAAATAATATTACCTTATCAAGAAATAAATAAAACCAATCCTCACATATCTGGGATTAAATAAAGGACAAAAGTTTCACTTCCAGATGTAAATCTGCCCTGCCACCCTGTTTTCTGAAATTAAACACTGTTTTACAGAAACATAGATGCAATGGTAGCTCAGTCTACATTAGATGAAATCAAAGCATTCTCACCATAACTTGAGTTGTGGTTCAACAAATAAAATATTCATTGGTGTATTTATTTCAACACACTTTTGTCTAGCCTCTCACAAATGAATCAAAGTGTCTGTGAAAGGAAAATAGCAGATATAGTAAAATAAAACAATCTAAATGCGCAATAAAAAGCAATCAGTAGCATGTGATGGTTACAGATCAAAATGGATGGATGAAATCCCAAATGCCTGTTCAGAGGGAAATATTTCTAGAACCCACCTAAAAGGAAAAAAAGAAGGAACATCAGCCCAACAATTGTTGATGCCACCATCAAAAAGGCCCTCTTCCTGGTACCAGCCAGTTGCTTCCTAGAATGGCCAGACCCCATGTTTTCAAGGACATCAGTACAGTTTTCAAATAATGAATTCAGACTTAGTCATATAATGGCTGTATCCACACTTTGAGTTAAGTCCATCAAAATTGTTACTAACAGACTGCCTATTAATGTTAAGGGCTCTACTCATTTGTTTATGAATTTGTGTCTTCAGAAGTTTTATAAACCACATATCCAAACACTGTGGTATAGAAATTCATTAAATAATACAATAATTAATATTCCAGCCTTCCCCATCCTGGTTCTTTCTAGAGCTACCATGTTTGGGGGATGCTGGGAGTTGTAATAAAACACGTCTGGAGAAGGCAATGTGGATCCAGAAAAATCATTGGAGCCTTCCTTACACGAAACTCTTCTGACTGAGTGAACACAGGACAGGCTGTTCAACCACTCAGCTTCTTACTGAAAAGAGCGGTGTTCAACCGATCGTGTGCAGTCCAGCATAAGGCCCCGCTGTTTCAACCACCCTGCTCTATGTAGCCTTTTTGTAAGCGGGCGCCCTCCGCTTTGGAGCCCCAGCCACGAAGGCTGCGATCCTAGGCACGCTTCCTTGAATGTAAGTCCCACCGAAATCCGTGGCGCCTCCTCTGGAATAAATGAGGGCTTGGTGGGATTGCACGAGCATCCTACGTACACCCTCGCAGAGCCTGGGGCTTGCTTTCGAAAGAGCGTCGCCCTGGATCAGTGCCCAGTCTCTGCTGGCCAGGCAGCCTTCCCTGGAAGAGAAGAGCAGGAGGGGGCGAGTGGGGGTCCTCCAGGCTCTGACGGCTGCAGCAGGTGGATTGCTCCGTCCTTCATTCCTGCATCTGCGATCTTTCGTTCCGTTCCTCTTCCCACCGGACTGGCGTATTTGGCACCACCTTCTCTTTTCTCAGTTTCCTGGCACAGCTTCCCACAAGCTGACCAGAGCTTGCTGCTTTCTCACAAACTTCGTTTGCGAACGGTGGCTCGTCTCAGGAAGGGGTTTCTTTCCGCGCTTAGGAAATGCCGCCCTTTAGTCGGGGCTTCCCATCAAATCAGCCTGCCCTAGATGGTGCGAACTACAACCCCAATCATCCCTAGCCAACCCCACTGGCGGATGATGGGAAATGTAGTCCAGCACGCCTGGAAGGCGCCGGATCGGAGAAAGTTCCTTTTAATAGCAGGACCTCCCTGCCTGCCTTTCTCCTTCCTTCCTCCCCTCTCCCCCCACTCTCCCCCGTTTTTCATGGGCAATCCTTTCCCAAGCCAAGAATCTTTGGTGGAAGCTCTGAAATCTACACTGTGTCGAACTTGGCACAAGCTGCGACGAGGCCCTGAACTTGGGCTGACACCAGCGGCCATGCTTCTCTGTCTCGGCCTCTCCCGAGCAGGTGTCTGGCTGCCTGCGCCGCATGCCCGCTACTCTGCAGTACCGTGCACTATTCGTATTAAGGCGCACACACGCATCGGAGGTAGAAACCGAGCTCCTCGCCTCTCCTCAGTCCGCCCAAAGCCCGACGGATTGTTTATACAGGTGCAGTCTGAACGCCTTCCTTACTCAAGATTAATGGGAAGGAAAGTGCTGGATTTTTCTAAACAGTGGGGGAAATCTTGGTGCTGCCCAGCCCTAAAAGCTTCGATGGCAAATCTTAGCTTCCCCCCGTGGGTGAGCAATACAGGCAAGGTGGTTTAAAGATTAAAGCGCACACCCACGGAAAGACAGAGAGAACGCGCCCTCATGCGAACAAGAGAGAGAGGTCGGTGTCAAGCTAGTTAGAAATGGATGCACTCTCTGACCCCAGTCCAGCCACTAATTGGAGAAGGATCAGAGCTGTCTCTAAATGATCGTCCCTGATAAAGAAAAAGCACTCCGTGTATGCGCAAAGGCGTGCCCTTCTCTTAAAAATACATAATTTCTATGGCTAATTCAGAACATCCATAGATGTTCTTTCTTTCCTGCATAAATGAAGGCATCAGAAATATAATCTAACCACCAGAAATACTAGCTGGATGCTGGAAAGGAGATGCTACCCACCGGGGGGGGGGGGGCAGTCCTACAACTCCTATAATTTCCCAGCCAGCCATAGGAAGGCGTTTTCCACTGTGTCAGACCACAAGCCTGTCTAGCCAGGTCTTGTCAAACTGCCAGGCAGTGATAGCTTTTTCTCAGCCCTTCCTGGAGATACTGGGCCACAAAGCAGGGCTCTTCTCTAGGCAAAGCTGGTGTGCTGCCACTGAATATTGGTCTAGCACTACCACCACCCGCTTCCACATCCCCTGGTGCACAGAGTTGTGCTGTTCTTGGAAAACTGAGATGGTGGCAATGAGATGGGGGTGGAGCTGGTGTTCAGACTCTTCTGTTGAATATCTGGAAATATGGCCATGCAGAG